CCCGGCCCGCCGCCCCAGGAAGCGGCGCCGGGCCCCGCCCGCGGTGGTGCCGTCACGGGGCGGGGAAGGCCCGGGCCCGGGGCCGGGCGGGAGCGGCGCCGCCTTCCCCGCCTCTCTCCGCCAATGCACCTCTGAAGCGCTCCGGAGGGACAGCGACACGTACCTCCGCTCAGGCGACAGCTGAGCCTTGCTGCAGCGGCTCGACGAGGTGAGCTATTCGCAGCTCCCTCCCAACCCCAGCGGCTGAAGCTGCTGTAAACCTCTCTGCCTGCACCGCTCCTGCATCCGTCTGTGCTACCACCGGCCCCCGCAGAACCTGCAGCTGACAGCGATAAGGCCGAGCTGGCCCCCGGAGGCACAGCATGCCGCGACTGAACGCACCTGCAGAGAGACGGCTCCTGGACCAAGCAAGCTGTCAGCTGTTACAAGAAAGAACACCCAGCTCAGCTCCTGCTGGAGACCATAAAGGGAAGGAACAGAAAACACCTTTTACTAACAAATCTTCTGTTTGATTTTTGGGTTTTTTTTAATATCTACAGATAGTTTTAAAACTCCCTTGAAAGCTGCTTTTCTATACCAACGTTGAATAATTCCTACAGTATTAAAATACTCTGTAAATGGGAGAGTGGTTTGGGCTACACTATGTAAATCCAACAGACATATTCTAGAATTACCACTCAGTTGCTCAGTTACACAATTGCTAAAAGCTTCACATTAACTTCTTAAGAGGTAATATAATATTTATGAATTATCAGTTATAATACAGGACATTAGGGACACAAGGCAAAGTAGTATTCTTCAGCTGTGTGAGAAACAAGTTAAAGAGGGAATAGTTTTCCTTTCCTTTGTAAAGCTAGGCGTAGACACTGCTTGGGCCTGCTCCAACAGCAGCATCCTCTACTTGGGCTCGGAGAGAAGGTAACAGACATGGGCTCTCCAAGGAATATTTCCACAAGCATCAGAACGTGCTGCACAATTTACTCCAAACGATTAATGTACAAGATCCACAAGGCCCATCACTATCACACCAGTTCTGTGGCAGATACTGGACATAATGTACATTCTACAGGAGAGGAATCTCAAAAATATTCTACAGCAAATTTAGTATTATTGGATATTTAGCAATGATTGTCTTGTGCTTTCATACAGATTTGTTAAAAGGTTATCAGCAAACTGTACAACAGCAATATTCACAGGTACAGTCAAGATAACACTGCCAGTTCACTCTGAACTTTATTTTTGCAATTAGCAACACTCCCGAAAAAAAACTCCACAACCCAACCCCCCAAAAAACCTAACACCCCCACCCCCCAAAAAAACCCAACAGAAAAAAAACCCCACCCAACCAATTCAGCCAGGTACCCTTAACTCTGAAATATGAACTCTTTCTTTTAAGATTACAGAAGTCATTAACTTGACATTGTCACAAGGCAAGGGCAACATTTGCCTAAGTAGGCCAAAAACCCCCCACCCAATCAATGACTCAAGTTGTGTTAGCAAAAAAGGCCATTTCGTTGTAAAATGGAAGTTCAGACAGGGCAGACAGTCAAAAACCAATCACCTAAATAAAGGAACACTGAGATTAAACAGTACCTTTTGTCTGTTGACTCTTGTTGAATTTCTTATCATTCAGTGCAAATAACGACAAAAAAAGAAAGACTGAACTTGGTTAGTAGAAGATTGGATTGTAAAGGATCAATGAGCTAGACTTGCAGCCCTTCCCATTTCCCCCCTCCCGCAAAATACAGGGTTTGGAAAAATAAGCAGTGTTTATTTACTAACAATGACATAAAATACATCTTAATATATTTTTATTTCTTTACAAATTAAAAGATGCATTGGAAAAACAAGTGAAGAAAATGAAAGTTTCATTCATGATTTCATTTCCACCCCCACACCCCCCAATATTAATACTATAAATTAGTATTTGTGGAAGTCTGTGGTTGCTGTGCATTATATTCCTGGGAAGCTCTTTTTCCCCCTCTGATTAAAAATCCTCTAGATTTTTGGTTGGAGGCAGTACGTGGAGTAAAGTCAGCCACATTCATACAAAAACACTGAAAGTTCTGTCAACTACATCTTGAAAGAGTTTCTCCATTACAATTTTCATGTTCCCCTTTCTCTGTAGTGATGGGAGGGAAGACAAACTAGCAGCATTAGAAGAAAAATGGACTTATAACTCCTGGGTATTGGAAGAACACCTGTTAAGTGTTCAAGTTAAAATATACAAGCCCCCTTTCAAAAGTGAATAAACGAAGCCCTTAGAATTCTGAATTACACTAGCTCCCTCTTCACAGGAGTCTTCTCATCCACCCTTGCAAAACAGAGCAGCAGAGCAGCCAAAGTGGATGGATTAATCTATCTGAGGTATTTTAGTTTAACAAACAGGCTTATAAAAGGTTTTGTGCAAGCTGATCAGTGGATAGAATGTGGAGGGTATAAACATCCAGTAATGAAACTCTTTGCTATGGCCCAGGTGCTGTCAATAACCTAAATCAGGTACTTGCAATACCTATTACAGTACAGTCTAAATCTTATGCTTTTGTATCCCCTTCCTTGTATTCCAGGGTACAAAACAATCTCAAATTCACGTCAGTATAAATGAAATTTCTGCTTGTTTGCTATGATTCACAAAAATATGGTTGAAAATGGCCACTTCCTTATCATCCAGTTCCTACACAGTCCCCCATCACCTTGTTAAAAGTATTTTCTGCTTAAGGTTAAGAAACTTTTGTTCCCACCACCATCTGACAGACAGGTAAACTCTGCAGGAGAGGTCATGGAACATGGAACATGACTAGGACAATACAGAGCTGTGCAATGAGAAGGAAAGGAGTCACCACACATGTCAACAGGAAGTACCGGCTCTACCCCTACACTGCTCAGAAGCTGTTGATTTTTGCCCACTTAACTATCAATTACTCCATTACAGTTCTGCACAGCAACTTACAGTATGGGAAGATTGCAGAGAGAAGTTTGCCCTGCTGCCTCCTGGCTTACCACTCGTTTCATTTTTCATGGCTTTCTGGTTCAGACAGCCACATGATAGATCTGTGCTCTGACAGATCATGCTTCCCTCTTCAGAGGACACACAAAATGTTTGGCTGCTCCAGCTCCCATCACCTGACCTGCCTCTTGTCCTCCCCACCTGTGCATCCTCTTCACACTTGGAGCATGCACACACACCCACGCAAATGCACAGCAGCTACCAGAAATTTTGAAGAGTTATCGCTTTTTCACCCAATGTTGAATCATGTACAGTGAACTGAAAAAAACCCTACATTCATTACAACAGGATTAGCGAGCATGGGGTGGGGTGGGGGGTGAACTCCTGCCAAGCACAGGAAACAATTTAAATGCAAATAAAAGACCTGGTATCAAAGGCCTTTTTTTTTTGTTTTAGCCCTCACCAGGAAAATATTTCATCTCTCATATGGGATTGGGAAAGGTTGAAAGGATTTCTGCTTATGCAATGTGTATTAAAAATTATGGAATTGTACAGATTTCTATGTTGTCCTTTCTGAGGGCGCTGGGCCTTCTGATCAGGTCATTAGTGGAGACTGAAATGTCACTGCCGAGTTCTAGCACCACTCACTCCTCTAGCTCAGTAGCTGCCGAATCTCCTTGTGCATGTGACACAGGAAGTCCACATATGAAGCCCCGCCACTCAGGCTCTTGTCCTCCACTAGAAAGTGTTTGAACAGCATTTCCAGCTTATCTTCTTGCTTCACAATTATCAACTACAAAAAACCAAACAAAACAAGAGCAAAACCAACAGTGAGTAGCTATTAGAATTAATCTTCATGGGGAAAAATAGAGCAAAAAGCTAAATGCTCAAAACCCCAAAGACAGCCAGATTCACAGCATATATGGCTTATATGCTTCAACTTGTGTAACTCCACTGAGTTAAGCCTCAGTCCTTTCTAAACAGAAGGAAAATACCATATATGTGGTTTATATAGTAATATATTGTAATAGGTCTGAAAAAAGAAAAGTTTTATAACTATGGTAAGTACAGAACTCCAAATCTAATGAAATTTGTTTTCAGTTTCTTGAAAACTTTGAACAACATTTATGAGGTTGGGAATAAAAAGCTCAGGACTGCAGCATTACCAGGCATCACCTGACTCTACTAAGAAGGAAGGGGATTTAAAGCTGTAAATGGGGAACATTTTTACCTTCATGTAGCGGGATCTCTGCCCTTGAATCATATCAACAATAGATCGCACTTTCTTTGAGAAGGGGTTTTCCATGACTGGCAGGGTACTCTGGAATGAAAGATATCCAATCCCCATTAGTCTTGGGAAGTAGAGCAGTGTTAAACAAGTCAGCAGTTTTGGCATACTGTATAAGGGTAGAGAAATATCTACGCCCATTAGCGTACAATTTCTTTGACTTCAACTACTTAAAAGAGACTATAACATGAAATCAGAATTAAAGATCAATTATTTATTCCATTTAGATATCAACTGTTCTCTTCACTATTACTAGTATGATTTGTCAAATAAACCTAGGTTAAAGCATGCCTGACATGCCCAGACTATCAACATTTCTGCTAGTTTCACACAACTGTGCTTCTCTCATTTTGGTTATGAAAAATGAGACGCTATCTTTTCTACTGGCTTCCTCATGGTTTTAGATTTTGGGTGACTATCACAGATTCTATCTCCCACACTGTCATCCAGCTCACCAAGGCATTGCTAATTTGACTGAAGGATGAAACTCCGAAGAGGTTCTGGATCAGGCCTTGCTGCACACTGACTCCCACCCACACAAAGACGTTCAGCCCATTCTCCAGCAGGTAGATGTCACCCTTGGAGAGACGCTCCTCAGAGTTCCGAATGGCTGCTGGCAAGGAATCACTGTCGACATCTGCTTTGGTCTGTTTTACAGGGAAATAAAAATTAAAGTAAAATAAAGGTTAAAAAAGAAAGAACATCTTATGAAGTCCTGAAAATTTCTTCCATGAAGACCCCAATGATTTTCTCATTTCTAGGTCTCTCAAGACTGCAATAATTGTGACTGAAGTAGCATCTTCTTACTCAAAGTGACACAGAAACAGTTCAGAGACTCTTGGTCAACAAAAGAGAACTTAAGGCTTCTGTGAAAAGACTCAAGTTCAAGTATCACCTCCTGGAGTAGGCATGCAATTAGTTTTTAGTATTATTTCAGCAACTATGGTAATGAAAACTCAGAATAGTACATGGAGCTGCCTTGCAATGACAAAAATTACTACAAAAAATTGTAAGCTTTAGGAGTTTTTAAAAAGACTATGAAACGGTCAAAAGTGTCTTCTTTGCCACTAGTCATACGCTTACAGCTCAGGAAAAATGTATCCCCCAAGAAATTCACAAGATGCAGTAATGCTGAACAAAATTAAGTGAAATATCCCAACAGATGGCAGATCCCCAAATACTTCTCAAACCACTTTCCCTTGCTAAAATATAAATGCCAATCCTTAAGATGAGTCAATGAGACAACAATAAGCCTTAAGTGCTAAGAAGATCTTGGATTACTCACCAGGGGCAAAAGCCTGGGATAAAAGAAAACATTTGTTTCAGCCACATCCATGGATGTCACTAACTGACGGATGTAGGCACGGTCATCCGTTGTGACCTCTGGGCCAGGCTGAAGTACGTCACTCTTCAACACACAGTTCAAGTACACAGGAAGCAGCTTCATGCATTCAGGGAGGATGAGCTAGAATTCACAAGCAGATAGAAGCTGGTCAGCTGTCTTGCTGAGTAAGCTTATGTTTGACAAAATGAGGCTTGAATGAACCAACGAAGTGTGGTACAGCCCTGAAGAGTGAAACTTGATAGTCTACTTATATCATAGACTGCAAAAGAAACATAAAACCTTCCCCTGAAGCAGGCAGTGCTCCCTGGGCTCCAGACAGGTCTCCAAGAAGCCATTCTCAACTATGGTTTTACTTGTAGTAGTGTATTTACTTTCCTGAGTCCCCTCTTTGCAAATTTCTGCTGAGGAAAGGAATTGACTTTTTGAGCAGTCTAAGTAAGAAAAAGCTGTCATCAGTTTTTAATTTCCAAGCCTGAAATTCAAGTGAAAGCATTGGAGTTTACCTGGCCAGCAGAAGAGGGACTAGCACAGTTCTTTCTATAGCAGGCTAGGATCTGGGCACACTGGTTGATCAGTGCATCTCGTACAGTCTTCACTGGACTACTCAGGACTCCACGATATGCTGCACAGAGAGAGGAAGGAGATGGATTGCTGTCATTACTCATGAACAGCAAAACCCCAACACTACTTCTACAAAGGAAATCCAAACAACTATTGTTTATGGAAACCTTTATTCTTCCCGCTTCAAACTTGTAGGAAAATGACAATATACTTCTATTGAAAACCTGAAGAAGCTCATGTACTAAATTTTATTACATAATCTTAAACTCTCTATCTCCTATGTACTTAAAATATAATTATCATAATTGAAAGTATAGGGTTCTATAAAAACTCCTTTTACGGAGTTTGCCATCTTCCATTAATGCCCTGAAAACAGACTTTATTTCAGTTTAATGGCAATAAAAATACACAACTCTTAATCACTGTTGGCTTTCTAAGCTTTTACTGCAAGCTAGAAAGGGTAAACAGGGTACAGTGTGTAAGTGTATGACATGTAATCCATATCTATGAACAAGGGCCACCATTTCCCACTGCCAGAGCAAATTCCTTAACTGTTGCAGAATTTAACTAAAACAGCCCAAAAATAAATACAAGGATGAATTCAGACAGCTGGCAATACAAACTGTGACTAAAAACATTTAGGAAAGAATTTGTATGAAGAATAAGCCTAAGAATAAGCCTACACCCTCCATCTGTACCTCTCGTCCTAAGCAGCAATACAATCATCACAGCTTTATGCTCTTTCCCGTAACTGACTGAAGTATCAAAACTGCCACCTGACATTTGAAGCAGGAAGAATAAACAGGTGTCACTGGGTGACAAAACAGCCATTTTAGCAGCAGTTAAAGGCTGCAATTCTTGTTTCTATATTCACCCTTACCATACTTAGCCAAGTAATTGATGAGGGTGTCAGTCTCACAGTTCCGATACAGGTCAGCAAGCTGCGTGCAGCAGTTTAAGGAGAGGTTGTGAATGCGGAGCCGTCGCTGTCCTGCACAGCTTGTATACAGCAGAGCACACTGCAGGAGACAAAAAGGCCAGGAGACAGAGAAATGAGGTTCTGCTACAATGACAAGGGCAGGGTTAGAATATACTTCCTTAGAAGCTAGGACTCAGATGCATAAACAAAAAAAGTAACTACATAAAAGACTTGGACAATAAGCTAAAAGTACATGCTAAGAATCAGGATCAATGAAAGGTAACAAGCAGCAATTTTAGCTGTTGTGTTAAGGGACCTGGTCTTAGAAAATAGGACTGCAGTTCAAAGCAGTCTAGGTCACTCTCAGAGCAAGTATGCTGGAAGGGTACGGTAAGATGCAGAAAGAACGAACAAACGATTCCTTGAAGAAATGTCTAATAATTCAGTTCAATTGTCAACTCATTTCTTCTACAAAGCCTCCCCCTCACCTGAAGCAGTGCACCACTGTCTTCACTCAATTTATCATCATGCTTGAATTCCACTGTGATTGTTTTATCACAGTCCAAACCTGCCATCTCTACATCAGTTGTGTTGCTCATATAGAAAGCTCCAAAAAAGTCAGTTGCTCTAATACCTAAAAGACGGAAAAACATCACATGAGCCACCATTTTCAACAGGATACCAAGACAGCCACCCTTCTGACCCTGACACCAAGTTATCCTGACAGATTGCAGTAAGGATCTTTGCAGTCTCAACAAAAGTCTTAGAATTCCAAAGCATAAGCAGAACTTTTGTGATAGCCTAGTCACCATGTGTTTTAAATGACTGGAAAATTTCTTTCCCTGAGACATGCTTAAAGTGGTCAATTTATTAAGATTCCTCCACACTAACACCCACCTGTGCTTGTGCGCACTCTCATTACAGCATCAAATCCCACTTCTTTCTGGACATCCCTTCTCAAGTCATTCAGGAACCTGTACTGGTCTGTCTCCAGCTAGAAGGCAAACAGTAACTGAAGTCTCACACTTCCATAAATCAGACAGGCTTCATAAACCATACAGCAATTTAAAACCAGATACTGCCTCCTGCAGTCTTACTTTACAAGTCAGCCATGATATCAGGCTTAGTGGCCTGTTAATAAAATACTGTGCTAAGAGGTAACAGCCTAGTTCTTCCTGTTGGGTTTTGTTATCAACAGAGATGTTTGTATAAAGACACAAAGCTACCAAATAATTTTGCTGATTATCTTGAAATTTAAGTAGCCCTTTACTTCCAGACAAGTACTACTTCACTATGGTTCCCACTATGAAAAAAGAACTCTCAGCTAAACAATAATTCTTACTTGGATCAGACACCAGCCTGAGTCAATGTCACTCCTACCTGGAAATATGCATATTTATAAATGGAGCCTCCCGTCTGGTAAGGTACCACACCCAGTGTTGCCACATCCAAATACTGGTTTGGAAACAGGAATAGATCCACACAGCAGCCTTGGGCCACACAGTCCTTGGCCAAGTTGTTGTAAAAGCTCGTCTGTGGTTGAAATAAAGTCTAAGAAAGGAAATCAGAGATGACATCAGAAGTTTGTGCAGGAAAAGGAAAGTGAGATCCAGTTTATAATGCCAGTCAGTACTCTTTTATACTTTAAGTCTTTCTTCATGGAAAGTAGAATCATCTAAGTTCTCCCTGACTCTGGCTTTGAAGAACTGTTAATTATTATGAAAACTGCAGGATATTTTGCTTTAATTGTAAACTCAGCACATTTACTTTAACCCAGATTTGGTATTTTACCCTGTGTGATAACCTACAGCTAACTCTTCTTGTTCTCAGACTAGAGCTGTCCTTATGATGTCAAGTCTCCACAGCCCTGCTTGGGAACAGAAGATAAAAGTGGAATGTTAAAAGATATTAGCTGGGACAGTTACAGTATGTGCTATCCTTGAAATTTTTTCAATGTTGTTTCAGTTATTCTATTCCACAAAGAGCATAATATACACCCTAATGTAAGGATTATGCAAACCATTATTACCTTCTCTTTATCTGTGTTGATCAGTTTCCTATCATCCCTGTTCTTTAACTTCCCTGGAGCTTCTGCAATGGGCAGAGAGGTGTGGAAAATGAAGAGCTTGCCAGCACACTCAGCTGCCTGCAGGAAAATGAGTGCAATAACAAAGTTAGAAACATTTACAAAAGTTGTAAGGGAAGCTGTGATTCAAGAACAAACATTCAAACAACCTCATTACCCTTTTAATGTCAGGGTGACTCTAGCAGACACGCAGGCTCACTGTCACTTGGTTAGGTGACTGGTGTCCAATGGAAGGAGCACAAATTACTGCATTTGTGCCAATTCCACAGCAGGGAGAAAAGGACTTTCTCTAAGGACACAGAACAGTAAGCAGGATCCAGACACAAAAGGTTTTGTGCAAACATGTTGCATTGTCTTCTCTCATTTGCAGCTACTGAATTTGCAGAAAAAAGTCACAGAAATGCCAAAGAACAGTAATTTTAAATCAACACCCCATACCAACACTAGCTAATGTTTAATAGGTTATCTTCTCTGACACATGCAGTATGTAAAAAGTCAATTAACAATTTTTACTATGTATTGATTGAACAATTGTAATGAAAACAGATCTTAAGAGAGACTTTTAAAGACCATTTTCCCTGCACTCAGCTCTGGTGAAGCTACACACTGATGTTTTGAGCCCTTCACTACAAGGACACTGAGATGCTGTAGCATGTTCAGAGAAGGGCTATGGAGCTGGTTAAGAGTCTGGAGCACAATTCTTGCTTGAGGAGTGAGTGAGGGAACTTGGGTTGTCCAGTCTGGAGAAAAGAGAGGCTCAGAGGAGATCCTAGTCTCTACAACTGCCTGAAAGGAGGTTGTAGTCAGCTGGGAGTCAGCTTCTTCTCCCATGTAATAGGAGATAGGATAAATGGAAATGGCTTCAAGTTGCAGCAGTAGAGCTTTAGATTAGATATTGGGAAAAACTTCATGGAAAGGGCTGTCAAGCACTGGAACAGGCTACCCAGGGAAGTGGTAGAGTTACTATCCCTGGAGGTATTTAAAGGATGTGTAGAAGTGTCACTTAGGAACATGGTTTAGTGAAGGACTTGACAGTACTGGGTTAAGGGCTGGGCTTATTGTAAAAGTCTTTTCCAACTAAAATGATTCTCTGACTGATGTGACAGACAAATAAAGCTGTATCAACAGTTTGGGGTGAAATCATACAGGCAATCAATTTGATCAGTAGATACAAGTCAGAGTTAAACCATGCACATAGTTATGTCTGGATGAAGTACTAGAATGGAAGGACTTTAGGAAAAGTTTACTTGGTTACCACATTGTTGCAGGCAACTTCAACAGATGATATTCTCTCCTTTTATTTAAAATTCTACCAAAGAATGGGATTAAAAAGACATCAAACTACAGAACACCTCCATGAGATTTAACAGACTTCAGCACCTGTTTTTTTAATGCTGGAGGGTCTTTTTTTCCCTAGGTAGGTTCTGTAAACTGTTTGAAGCAAAACCCAGACAGATAACTGAGAGTAAGCCATGTTCTTGCATTAAAAAAAATATATTAAAAAATAATTAGGTAAAGAACATATAAATAGCTGCATGCAGAAGGTTCATGCACTTTAAGAATGAGACAAGTACTCCTTACATGTAGTGCATCTACTATAAGGACCTTGCAAAATCTTTAGAATTGTCTTATTAGTGTGTGTTAACAGAATATGAACTTCAGAGTACTTTGCTGAAAACAATTTATCATAAATATGCATTTACTGACCTTCAGCGCCTCCAGCCCTGCTTGGATCACAGGTGCAAAAACAGTTTCTGTTTCTCTTGTGTCTGCAAACATCTCTGGAATCTGATCCAGCAAACTAGCAAAGAACAAGGGAATAAAAAAGAGGAACTCAGGATCCCATTTAATAAGAAAAGCCACACAGCTGTAGTTGATGATTTGTAAGAGTGAGGTGGTTTAAAGAGAAGTCCCTAACATGTCTGTAAATTTGCATATCTTTTACAGTATTTGGCATCTCATCCGTGGAAAAAATGCTGAATCATTCTTCATTGGCTTCTCTCATCCCTATCCTCAGCGCCTTCTGTACAGCCTCAACTGATGCCAATTCCACAGCTCTTCTGTATTTCTTCTCTTTTAATGTATTCCAACACACATAGGTAAGTCAATTCTTAGGAAACAGTAGTGACATTCGGCCTCTGTTTGCCAAGCATCTTGTGAACTACTCAAAGATTAATCCACAGTTTTGTATTTAGGCTTGATTAATGCATTAAAAAGCAGGCTGGAAATTTTCTCTAAAAACATGCAATTCCAGGTCTATTTCCCCAAATGTAGTTAGCTGTACATCACAGATTAATTACAGCTCAAGTACCATGGTAAATAATTTGCCAAAACTTTGCAAACTTCTTTTTTCTTTTCAGATTTTATCTTCTCTATCCCACTTATTCTGTTTTCTCCACAGACCAAAACTAGACATCCCTGTTGTCTTGGTTTGCAATTATTTAAGCAGCTGACTTAAAAATAGCGATTCAGTATTCTTACAGCTTTCACTCTGCATCATCCTAGATGTGTTTTGCTGTGGCTTTATTTTAGGTGGGGATTTTTTTCAGCTTGGATTTTGTTTGTTTTTTTATTCATTTCTCCCCAGAAATGTCCTTCTGCACTCATTCCCCTTATATACAGTTTCTGACAAGCTGGACTATGAGCCAAATCATCCCTTAGCTCTTCAATTTCCCCATCCTACTGTGCCAGCTTAATCTCAAAGAGTATATAGTAAGTTAAAATACATGGAGTGACTTAACATGACAATTAAGCACACAGCATTTGAATCTACCAAACAAGTATTTTACTACATACGTTGTAACTCTGTAAATTGTAAATTTGTAAATTGTAAAAAAAAAAAAAATTGTATACCTGGCAATAACTGTCCTGGACTCATTCACATTCACCAGAAAACCATCAAGGAGTGGCACAAACATATCTGCCACATCTGAGACCACCATCATTTGTGGCTGTGCCAGTGAGCTCTTCACGTTATAGAAGTGTAACACTTTGTTGTAGGTGACAAAGCCTACTCGAATGGCTGATTCCTCCATGTTCCCCTCCCTGGAAGAGACATATTTGCCTTCAACATTCAAGACAGATAAACCATTACATCTAACCAACACATTAAGGGAAAACTGAAAGGAGTAAAATTTATTTTCACCTAGAAGAGTATCAAGAAAAATGTTCTGCTTGGCCTTTTTCTGAAGAAAAGCTTGACAGGATTATCAAATAATTTTTAAATTTCTACCATTTTTAAAGAGAAAAAGTAACAGCATCTCCCATTTGCATTGACTACAGTAGTTCACAATATACCTACCTAGGCAGATAATCTAGGAGTGACTTTAATTCTTCACATATTAGCCTCACTAAGCCACTCTTCACAGCATTGTAAGACACATCAATCATAAAAATGAAAGCAGGTGGACTAGGAAACTTGTTATTCTGTGGGAGAGAGGGAAGAAACCACACATTTGTCATGTAATGCAGCTCACGTAACAGCTCCCTAACACAGACAAATCAATGCTGGTCAAAACTTAGTTGCTTCCATGTTCCTCTGTAAGCATGAGCAGCAGTTGTTTCTTCAGCTCACTCCCCTATCCTTTTCCAACTAACAGACATGTAATTCTTACTATGTTTGAAATGGACTCATATTAAATGCACTATACTGACTTTCTCATTGATCAGAGAAGAACAGTTCTAACTAAATAATCCATTTACATGACTAAGCTAGTTTGGAAAAGTAGACAGGGAAGACTTCTGCCAGTTCTCAAGACTCTGGAACCTGACCAGACCTGTTTTAGGTGATTCCATCAATATAAAGTAGAAGATTTTCCTCTCCAAGGATTACAACCTTTTCCTTCTTAAAAATCAGGCTTTCTTTGGGAATGAAAAACTTGCTTTAGTCAATAGTTTTCTGAAGTTGATAGGTAATACTGGAACAAGCCCTCAGAACAAAATCAAAACAGAAGAACTTTCAAAACAGCTGTGAAAATTGCATCTTCTTTGACTCAAAATTCTTCTTATGCTGTTAGAAAATAATTGGACTTCTTGTCTTAATGCAAAGTAAAGCAGAGGCACTAGAAGGCAACCACTATCAACTCGCAACATTTAGGCATCTATTTTCTCAGCATAATATTTCAGCAGAAATATAAGCTGCTTTAATAACTACCTTGCACATATTTTCCCTGTTCCTTAAAAGTTAATTATTATTTAAATTTTTAATTTAAAAGCAAAACAGCTTTGAAATATACATTTCCACACTATTCTTACGCTTTTAATCACTATGGCTGCATCTGAAATTGAAGTTCAATAGGTAAGTTCTGCCTTAGGGAACAACTGGCATATTGCATAGCTACTATTGTACTTGCATTGAACCTCTCCTACAATTCCCTTTTCTGCCAAAGACTACTGCAAAAGAATCCCTTCTGCAGAATTCCTAAGGTAAGCACAGCTATAGGTGCTTATATAGCTCCAGAAAAAAAATTACAGAGACAGCTATTAAATTATATTATGTCATGTGTGATCAGGACCTCCACTGGTTTTCTACGTAAGCAAACAAGCATGTTATTTCACACAATAAAGTGGGCTGGATTAGCGCTGTTAATTACCTCTGCCAGCTAGAAATCAGCCCCAGACAACTCATGTCTTTCTTACTTTCAAGAAAACAGTCTGTTTACTTAAAAGAAAACTAGATAAAGCAATAAAAACATACTACTGTACCTTGCAATAGTCAACTGTTGCTAGAAATTCATACGATCCCAGTGATAACTCAGGTCGGTCATAGAAATCTACTCGCTTTCCAGTATGATCCAAATGTTGGAAGTAGTGAGGTGGCACTGGGAAAGGAAAAAATCATTAAGCTCAGTGATATGCCCATAATACACACTATGACTCGAGAGCCAACATGACAACAGTTGTTTCAAACAAAACTCCAGGAAAGTTAACTAGCACTCTGAACTAGCACACAAGTACTGAAAATATTAATGCAATTTAAGACTATCATTAAAGCAAAAAAATAGAAACTTATTCCAGTTTGTCTCATGCACCAGACAGTGCACAGTATAGTTACTGTTATACTCTTCTTGAACCTCCTTTCCATTCTCATTTTACATTTCAGATCAGAAACATCACTACAATATGCTTTTAGGATTATTCTGAAGGATCTAATCCAAAGGAAAAATATAACCATCCCATATAAGTAGTAACAAGTTACTTAAAAGAGAGTTTGAGGCAAACAACAGGCTACAACATCATTACTGACTCAAGTCAGGCTTACTAAAATACTGAGCTCCTTATTTTGCTATATAAGTTTGCAGAGACTCCCATAATCTTTTTATCAGAATAGACAGAGTACTTACAGTGGATTAAGAAGGAGGAATAGAAATGCAACCACATGCCCAGCACCCAGTACTTTTGTGCTGGTACAAGGTATCAGAAAATAAAAAGGCAGTTACCCTCAATTTTTGCCTACAAAAGTCAGCTGCAGAAACAAATTATTTCCCTTGTGCACCAAGAACTACCACGACAGACACTCCTGCAGAACTGCTTGGGCAAAAAAAATTATTCTAGTTACAGCTGTCTATATAGATATATATAGCTGTCTATACTGCTCCAGAAGAGATTAAAATGAGATTACCTGAAATTACCTTATTCACCGCATTTAAATTATTCTAAACATTCCAGGTTTCAAAAGTAAAAAAAAACAACAGAGTGATATCACTAAGACTATATGCAAGCACCTATCACTCTATTCTCCAAGTACACATCCCATACAATTGCCTGATGGCATTTGCAAAGAAAACAAAAATTGTTCTCAAGTTTTAGGTAGAACTACATTGTGAAAGCAACACTGTTGCTTTCATCAGCAGTCTCTCAGCATCCCTCCCTTTTCTGCCTCTGCTCAGTTGTTACAGGTACAGCCCTTCATACAGCTGCTGAGTGAGCAGGACAGGGAGTACATGCAGGCAGAAAATCACCAGACAAAATTGTTTTTTAAGGTTGTCCATTTCTAATCCCCATTTTGGTTAGTGCAAACAGTATTAGTACAGCATAACAGAGGTGGTAAGAACAGTCCATTAAAAGCTATCAGTGCTACCAAATGGAACACTGAAAACACCATCATAAGGTTTGTTGTACCTTACATTCCACTGTGCCTTCAGAACAAATCTACAAATGTCATGCTATGAGAAGCTCATTGTGACTTCTGCTTAAAAGGAAGCATGTTTTGGTCTAATTTAGAAAAGCGACTAATATCAACTGGCCTGTACTGAACACTCTTTTTCAGTTGTAGCAGATTTAACTGCAATCTCATCTCTAAGGAGTGCTAGTGAGATAAAAAGAGGCTTTGAGAGAAAAAAAAATCCTAACACATGCTACAGACTAAATCTATACCTCAGTCTGTTAAAAAACCCTGTACTTTGGAAATATCCTAAGAAAATGCAATGCCTTTTAAACCACCAGGCATTATGCTACAAATATATTAAAAATTTGCTACAATACTACTATGCATAAGCACCTTTTTGAACACAATTTCAGAGCAGTGAACATGCCTTCCAAGAATTTTTTACAAGACTAGACACATACTAAATCACAGTATTAATTATAAATGATCTTAACATGATAAATATTTATTCGCCTGCATCTTGCTCTAAGACCTTTCCAAAAGAGCCCAGAGAGGGATTTCCAGAAGAAACCTTACCCTCAGTGACACAGCTGCAGAAACAACACTGGAACCTCCTTCCACCTTCAATGAATTGCATAAAAGGGCACATGTAAGCTTTGCACCTATTACATCGGACAGGACCGGATTCTCCATGGTCTACCAAGTAAGGAAGGGTCTGTGGAAGCAAGAGAAAAAAACATGGAAAGAAAGGTCATATGATGATGAGAAAGTTTTAAACTCTGCATTGTGTGGTCATTTCTATCTTCCTGTACACGGCATAGGATTTAGCATTTGGCAGCTGTGGGAGGGAGTGCAGGGGATGTGGGAAGCCTGAACAAATATTTAAGTGCTTTTCAATTCAAGCTCTAACACGGCAGTATTTTAAGGGCTAGTTATTAATGCGCTATCCCACCTAGCCAGTAGCTTGCTCGAAGAACACAACCACATTGTATCACCAGATGTATCCCAAATGAACACAAAAGACTGAAAGTGACTTTTCACCTCTTATCTCTTCCCCTCGTAAAAAGCAAGCCTTTTGACAAAAGCAAAGCCAGTCATTGCATTCCATATATTCAAGAATATAGAGTATCTACCTTAAAAAATTCCATCTGGTAAGACTTATTTTTGAACTCCATTCAGAAATACATTGTAACCACGAGCTCTCACTGTCTTGACCCCACTGTACAGCAAGTCCTCAAAACTGTTATATAGTGACACAATTTTTGAACTATTACTTATAATGTTCTTTTCACACGCAAACCACAACAAGATGCTTGGCACCTTCTGCAGCTTCTCAATATCAGAACAAGCTGGAAGCGCTTTAAAATGATTGAGACAGAACTCATGCAAGTTATAAGCTGCATTCATTCATAGTACAAAGCACCTTTTGTAACTAAGAGCTTAGCTCAAAAATCTAACTACTTGTTTTTAAATTTTCTGCCAGTAAAGGTCTTAATTCTCTCAGTTACCCTAGCTCTATGATCATGTTTAAGAGACAATATTCACTGAACAGAAGATGAGCAAATACTTCAGTCACTTTCCTTTTCATGCTACAGATGTGCTATGCTTTTTCATTTAACCCCACTAATCATTTAATGGCAGTACAATGGTTTTGAAGCCAGCATTTCTCATTTCCTATAATCCAGGCTGACTTCTTCAAAGGAAACAAATTTTCAAGTTTTCTGATTGGCAGGCAATGTTGGTATTGTACTTCAAGACAATTTACAGTTTTCTTTTCCTCAGCCTCTCCCTCTGTAACCTGTAAACAAACTGCAAGGATGCTAGAAACAGGCAGCACTGTAAGTAACTTGTCATTAACCACTTACTCCCAGAAGTGAGATACAGAAGAGAGAGATACTTCTTTCCAAAGCCTCAAGCCTGGTTTTCTGAACAGTGCATAACATCGGGCAAAGGTCCTGGATTTGGCAACCAGGCTGGATTATGGCTGAATTTTTATATAGCCTAAATTTATCTGAAGCTTTAGTTGCATAAGATACTATTTTCATGAAACATTTATCCTTTCATTGCTTGTATGTAAAGCTTTAGCTCTATTTACAGTCTTGTTGCTCTGAACAGCTGAGTCTTCATCTGTTGGAAAGTCCCCTCCACAGTTCACCCTTGCCATAAAGAAGTTCCAAACACTAGAAGCTGTTCTCCAGGGCAACTTTCCAATCCTAGGCGTTTTTTTTCTGGACACCACAAGTGTTTGTTCAAAGCATAAACACACCAGGAGACCAAACAACTCTTATTTGTAAAGTTTCTCTGAAAATATGTAACTCCACACGCCTCCAAGTTTCTCAAGTAAGACCTTATTCTCCTATTGTGTTCCTTCTAAACTTCAGCCACAGATCAGTTTTATCACAGAACAGTTTTGAAAATTCAAACCATAGTTTAGGAACCCTAATGAAATGCAATAGGAGAAAAACACCCTTAAAAGACCAGAGGAAATTGCTTTCCTCAGCAGGCGCTACACTGACGTTTAACAGGGCACAGAACCCTGCAGACCTATGTATTCAAATTTAACAAGCCTGTTTGTCTTCATGCCAATGCTCCAAGCAGGCTAACACTACACAGTAGCCAGAGTATTTAGACTGCTTAAAAAAATGTCAAACTCTGTTCAAATCTCTGAGCTTTCATGTTCTCAGCAACCAGACACAAGTGGGTAAAAGGCTCAACAACCACACATTACACCTAGAAGGAAATAAGTGCTGCAGAGAGAAAGGGCAGAAATGTAAGTGCAGCTCAGCAGTGCTAAGTACTCAGTGCTGTGCTGTCATCCCACACAGTGCTGTGCATGTACATGCATATTAGACAGCTAAACCATTGATGTTTCATACACTCTCATCCAATTTCACAACCTGGCATTCTAGAAAAGACTTAACACCTGTGATTAGCAACCATTTAAATACTTTAGACGAAGAAAGAACCTGAGATCAGCTGGAAGTGTATGCCTTTGTGACCATCCCAGTATTTTGGTCATTTAGTCACAGTGCTTGACAGCTACTGCAAAAAAGCCGAAATTATCATAGCAGTCAAAATATTAAATGTTTTGAAAACAACATTCTTTTGCTTTACAGATATCTATTGCACAGCTGTTGGAGGATCAATGTTTACGTGGTCTTCATTACCTAAAAATGCCTTTTAAACATATCTGTTAAATGCTGACACCTGAGAGCACTCTCCTGCCAAGTGTGCACACAGCACACTCTATGCACAGTTCTCACCTCCTCCGGTGGCAGAGTGGCCAGCGGCTTTATGACAGCAGCCAGGGGAACTTGGGATTGTTTGGCCATGTCAGAAGTGCAGGGAATATTGTAAGATGTGCATCTGATGTAGCGAGGGCTTGCATTACCTGGGGAACAAACAAAAAAGCCCCACAAATTTCAGCACAAATTAAGTTTATATTCAAGAACAGAAACAGAGTTTCTTAAGTTGTGTCATTAAGCCACAAACACTAAGAGCATACCTAAATATACAGTTTTAATCTATGGAAAATTTGAATGCCAAATAAAATACGTCTTCATGATTAACTACATGTAATAAAAGACCTTAAAACAAATGAACTTGACTCCCTGCCAACCTAAACCCATAAAAAGGCATTTCTGTTTCATGTATTCACAAACTAAAACATAATGTAGACAGAAAACTCTACTCAAACATTTCTACTGTTTTGTTTTGTAATTTTGGCTGAAGAGTAAAATACTTGATTGTAGAATCAGATTCTGAAGTTTCTTCTGGAACTTTAAAACTCAAAAAAAGTGTCAGCAATTAAAAGGAGGGAGTATCTTTTCTCTACAGAGCCCTCAGACCAATTTACATCCCTCTTAATTTTAAAAAATATAGTTGCCAGTCCAATTCCAATGATGCTGCTAGTAGATTTCAGTTTTCAAATGTTTTTTTATAAAGCTCTACAGAAGAGGCTTCATTTGCTGCTTTCTGATATCTTCACTAATGCTGATCCCTAGGTATCTGCCTTGGAAAGCATTTTTTACCTGTAAACTGGTTATAACTACCAAACGATCAAGAGAATCTAAACTGAGATCAAATCAACATAGAACCTAAAACCAAGTTTCTGTTGGTAAAACATGTTTCCTTTAAAGACACAGTGCTGTCACTGACTCTTTGGGACTTGTGCTTTGTTTGTTTCTTTAGGAAAAGAAAAGTAGTTTACCTTGATCCTTGACCAAGAAATTTGTAGTAACAAGAGGTGGGACCTGCCCTCTCACTCCAGTGACAAATGGTTCTGACCCACGGTTATTTCTGTCATCTTCAATCACTTGAATCTGTGATAGAAAATACCATGTTATTATGTGGAGGCTTGGTTTCAAAGTACTGTAAAATAAAAAGTCTCTAAGGCAGTGAAAAGGGGACCTGAGGCAAACATTACTATCTCTACAAATAGGAAGAGCAAGTAAATTTTGTCAAGCAGTCACCTCTCAGTTTGATTTCAAATAGTACTTAATGACTAACAATAAATTACAAGCTGCAAATAGTATTTTTCCCCAAGTATTCTTAGTAGTACCACATTTTATGTTTTAAAATCTGATCTGAACTCCTAAAAGGCAAACTCAGATCAAGAAAGGAATTTTTGGCAGTATTCTCCTGTACAGTTCTAGTAAAATAAGAATTAGAAGCTTCTGTAAGCTTCAAGCTGAAGTCCTATAGGTAAGCTGGCTTTTTCTTTCTGTTATGGTCCCACTGTTTTCATAGTATGCCTTTATTTCTAACCACTGTAACTCTGGCCTAAAGACAGATGGCTTGCAAGCTCAGGTGGAAGTCTTCATTACTTTGTGGTGCTCAGGGGTTTGTGATCTGAATTCTGGGAATGTGGAAAGTGAAATTTTAATAACTTGTCAATTAATCAAATTCTTCACTACTGCCAATTTGCTTAAAATAATGGAAATGTATTAGTTTTACTTAACTAAAACATTCACTGACCTTTGTAGTTGTACACAGTTCAAACTACATTTCCATAGTGATGACTGAATGAAAGAATTAAAGCTAGCAATCATTCTTCTCTTATTTTGCCAACAAACACACCTGTCTTTGCCTAGAGTAAATTCTGAAATGCAGAAGTTTGTATGGCAGAACTTCCACCTTCTCACTATAGACTGCAAGCTGACAGGAGAGAGCCTCCCATAGCTTCAGTGGCTACTCTAGAATAAATCTAGTTCTGTTTCAAGAGACTACAGGGTTACTGACATTGGTGATCTCACCACTGGTGCCTGTTAAATGATGAACTTTGACTACATGAGGAAGAAGTGACACAGGGTAACAAAAACCCAGAAGTTTTTTTTGTCTTTCAATCCAAAAGGTAGCTGCTTTTTTCTTTCTTTAGGTAAGATTCTCCAACATAAACATTAAATTTTCAAATTCAAAATTTAATGGTTATGCATGAGCACAGATAATGAGAGAATGTTTATAGCTCCCCATGCCTCATACTGGAATATTTGTATCGGGAATTAACATTAAAAAACTCCAGTTCATCTGCAATTTTAGAACTTCAGAGCACTGGCTCAGTACTGGTATATCAACATGAACAGTAATCAGATTCTGATCAAAACATGGTGGAAAACATGGCTACAACAGGTCATGCTGTGTGCATGCTGACATGAGACACATGTTGTATGAGCAATTATACTACTGGCTTACACTGAAAATGCCAGCTGGAATCTGATGAAGGCAATATCCTAAAGATCAGACAAAGTGAAGGGGAGACATTCTTCATGATCTGTTTCTGAAACACTGCTTTCTATTGCCTCACCATTCATCACAGAAGATTTTAAGAACCTCATGTGGTGTAATGTTACTCATTTTGACAAGGCAAGCAGAAGACAGCAAGGAAATGGTAAAAGATTAATGATGGAGGGTTAGCAAGGTGAAGTTCAGGTTTCAGGCATGCACAGATGGTCACCAACACAGAGACTACAATTGACATATATACAGAACTTACTGGACTAGGAATTGCATCTGGGTCTATTCTGTGCCTGGGTTTCTGCTGGGGTGGCAGCTCATTAAGTTGCTTTTTTTAAAAAATAAGAGTGCCACCAAAAAATAAAAAAGAAGAAAAAAAAAAAAAGAAAAAAAGAAAAGAGAATAATAAACCAAAAAGTAACAGTGTTACTTCTCTCTACCCAAACCTGTAGCACTGGAATTAGATACATTTAGATTCTGGTTCATGCAACAGGACACATCAGCTTCTGCAGCATACACTGACCCCAAAACCAGTCTTGCCAGGAGATTGGGCTTGGCTCTGAACACCTTGCTAATGGAGATAGTGGCTCACCTGCTCATTTTGGTTAGAAACTAAAGATTTATGCTTTAAGAACATGCTAACATGAAGGCAACTGACACAAGCCATTTGAGATTTCATTTAGTGGAAGAGAGGCAGACAAGCAATTAAAGACTTAAATACTATGAAAAAAAATACAGTAGTAAACTTTACATAAACCTGAAATCTAAAGAGGCAATATTTTTTAAATGGAAGAACCTTTTGAATAATGTCAATTCCAATCTAACTCAAGACCACATTATTTTCATAGTTTTGAAGTAGAGAAACAGCATCAAGAACAGTGAAAGGAACAGCACAGTAGACTAGTGGCAATAATATCACCAGGCTTAGTATTACTCATCATTGCTAACCATTACATGTAACTGCTTATCCTGTCTCAGAACCTCCACTCTGAAAGACAGTCCCAGAAGCTGTCCATATTTGACTGATGTAGCATCGTGACTTCATGACCCAAAAAAACCACAAACCAGCTTTTTGACAGATTATAGGAAAAGCACTACAATCACCTCCTACTAACCATACTTTAAACATAGATCACACAGTTCACAGACTGTCACCTCAAAACCTGAAATTAGTTCACCTTGGAAAGTTATTATGCAAGAATCCAGAAATGGAGAAACAAATTTAATCAAAGTGCTCAAGGATTCTCAAAAGATAACATAGTACAGAAAAAGACCTGAGGAATTAGAGCAGTGATTTCAATATGCAGTGCCTTTCTTTAGTCACCAAGAAAAATACTGCCTCTGGGCTTATTCATCACAAAAACATGAAGCTGGATAGAAGACAGAAACATAACCAGGAAAACAGACTGATGTTCCTTGGAATGAGAAACCTGTTTTCAGCTTCCATCTTTGTCAGTTGTTTTTTTCAAAGACACTATGGAAGAGTTGAAACTGCTAAGAACAAGTAAGCTTACAGGGCTAGGAATGGAATCTGGATCCAAGCGTTTTGGTGGAGGTGGGGGTCCAGGTGGACTTCCATAATTTGGTGCTCCTGGATAGGCTCCTCCATAGTTTGGCTGGGGACCTCTCATCTGTCCAAAGGAACCTTAACAAGAAAAGAACATAAAAATTCCAACGGTAGCTCAATACTAGGCATTTCCTCATTTGGCACTTGCCACATTTCCTGCCATTATATAAAAAAAGCCCAACAAACTCTCAAGAAAAATAAAGTCATATGCTTTTCAATTAACTACAGTTAAACCTATTTATCACAGTGTTTCAGCTTAAACTGGTACATCTCTATCAACAATCCAATAAACTGATAGATACAGTCCTCAAAACTAGACTTAAGGAAACAGAGGTTTTCAGTCTGAACTCTGTTAAGCTCTACCTCAGCCCAAAGCAGCACACTGCTTTAAGTAGTTTTAGTGTTTGCAGTTGTTGATTACAATGCACATTAAGGTCATGCACTATGAACATTTACCTGCAGAACTGTCTAATGGAAAGTGCACACAGAACAGCCAAGCAAGCTGGTTTCCCCAGTTCTTCAAATGAAAGAGATGCAAGGAGCTCCCTTGGGCAGTTTTAGCTTGTTTGAAATTACAGTAATAGGCTAATGTGTGATTTTCTCTTTTGTTTTGTAACTACCTGAAGCTATTTCATTATTATTTTAGACAATTCCAGTCACTTACAGACTAAAAGTATGATTTAACCCATTAATATTTTTACAGTTCACAGGAATTTGAACAGATATTTTTAATTAATTTACCTGTCCAGCTGTGCAAAGCTGCATGGGGGATGGGATTCTCAGTCCTAACATTTGCACATGATTACTTTATCCCAGCTATATGTAAGTGTTATTGATTAAAAACCAGCCAAAATTGGTGTTAATTCAGAAAGCTTAACTGGTCTTACTTTCAAGTACATTTAAGATGTGCAAGCTTCTACAAGGGAGAAAAATACATTTATGCAAATGAAAGGAGAAAACATAACAACTCCTTTTTCAATGTTTAACAACTCCTTTCATACATATTGCATATGCACAATGGCCACAAATTTAAAAAATATGAAAAAAGACCTTTCAGTACTTCCAATGTCTGTTTTTGGACAGGTGAGGCTGCAGACATCAAATTAGAGTCCATAATAAAATTCTGATCACAAATTCTGGTAGTATTATGGCACTAATTGCTAAACACATTTTTGGCCAAGTAAGCTAAAATTTCTTTACTTACATTAATCTGATTAAAACCTGTACTATAAAATATCTTAGAATGATATATGATATTATTTCAGATATGAGCACAGAGAAACAAGAGGGAAGCCTTAATGTGCAGCCAGAAGCCCACAAGTGACAACACAAAATCTAGTTCTCAGTTTGCAGCATACCAAAAATATGTAACTTAAAATTCCTCTATTAAGAATACTCACCATTCTGCTGCATTTGGTATCCTGGCTGAGGAGGATGAGTGGGAGGAGGTGGTCCATGAAGACCACTCATGGGAGGCCCAGGGTGCAGCCCTGCCATACTTGATGGAGGTGGTGGTGAGGATACATGATTAGGCTGGGATGATGGTGGTGGTCCAGCAACTGTCTGCCCAGGCAGTGGTGGGCCTGGCATGGCAGGTGGCCTTGGAGCACCCGTGGTAGGAGGGTAAGAGGAAGGTCCAACCCCTGTAGAAGGAGGAGGTGGGGTAAAACCAGGAACTTGAGTAGGTAGGCGCTGACTTGATAATGTCTGACCAGGAAAGAGAGGCTGTGAAGGAAGACCCTGAGACACACTGGTAGGAGGGGGTCCTTGGCTCGCACTGTAAGGTGTGTAGAGACCAGATCCTGTTGCACTAAAGCTTCCTGAGACTGGAGGAACCAATGTCAGGGGACCCAGTGAAAAAAAAAAAAAAAGATACAACATCATTTTCTTCTATCCTCAAGACAATTAAGATGTAAGAAAAACCCATTCATTCCAGATCAATCAAGTAAATCTATCACTCTCTCAAACTCAGATGAACTTACCAGTACTAGCAGAGACAAATACTAAGTGACCATTCTCCTAGATTGATCAGAGAGCTGAACTTCCTTCAGGGGATCTGAAATTTGATAGTTCCTTCACTGCCTTCTCTCTCAAAGTCTGAGCTGCTTATTTTACATAATCAAAATACATTTCAGGATTCAGGGCCAGAAAAAAAAGGGCAAAGACAGGAATATGCAAAACATGAACCACCACAAATCTATCCATAGATTTCTTGAACTAAGTTTCTGTCTTAAACTCCACACCCAGTTGGAGCCTGTAGATCAAGAATGGTTTTGAGCTTTGTGGTTTTAATAGCATGAAACTAGCACCATCTGTATGTAGCCCTATACTATTTCTCAGAATAATTTTTGACAAACATGCTGCCAAAATGCCAAGGAAATCTGTATCCCATAACCTGCTCCTAATTTTTCTATAAAATCTGTCTTACTCTTGTTAAAAACTATTTTAGCAAAACAATTTTTAAATAGTCAGACCACCTTACACATCACAAAAACAAAATTCTAGTCTTCGATTTAACTCTACTCTTTCACTTTAAAAAGTCCTCTGATCTACAGAAATGAGACTTTAGAACTGACACCATAGAACAAAGTATCTAAATTCAGTTTCTACTGTTAATTCTGTTTCTACTGTTTAAGCAAGCGTCTTCTTGACTTTCAGCAGAACCCTACACACAATCATTCAGAGTATTTTCAGCCCTCTGTGATTTACATTTACAAGACCCTTCTTCCTTTCTTTCTCTTTTTTTTTTTTTTTTTTTTTTTTTTTTGACTGGGCTTCTGCCAACAGTGGCAAGAAATGTAGACTCTCCAACAGGTGACTTAGGGGTAGACTCTTCTGTGTTTCACAAGATTCACCTAGTCAAGGACCAGTGATGTTACTCTCCTTTGTTATTCATGCCCAGCAGTGCCAGCACTGTCCCCAACAATAGTCTCAGTTCTGTTTACCCCAATTATGACCTTATTAGTTAAGAAAACTACTGTTTACTATGGCAGTTGACAACATCCAGAGAATTCCCATAACCATATGGTAATGAATCACTGAAAAGAAAAACTCTTATGAAATTACTAGCAAAAATGAAAATCAGTAGCATACATCGGGAGCCAAGAAACCTTACCATAGCCCAGTCCAGCTGGGGGAGGAGCAGAGGCTGCAGTACTGCCAATTGTCATCCCTGCCATGTGATTCCTGAGCTGCTGCACGCTGGCTGGGGGGGGCCCATATTGCTGGAACGTAGATATCTGGCTGACAGGCGTGGGTGCTGAGCCTGGCAGAAATGGCTGAGAAGCAGGTGGCCTGAGAGGGAAGATGACAAACTGAACTGATTCCTCATTATAGAAGAAGTTACAATTCTCTGTGCCTTTTAAAATTGTTCTAGCACATAAACACTATCTGGGTCTCAGATATTTACATGAAACACTGTAGCTAGTTCTGGAAAAATAATCCCTTCCACCAAACAAAAAACCAATCTATTAGCTCTTAAAATACAAATTCTGTATTTTTGTTAATTCCATTTCAGTTATTGCAGCAAATGAGAAATGCTGCATAGTGTCTATAGGGTGAGCAACAATAAGGCCTGCACAGCTATGTAAGAATCTTCTGCCACCCAAAACATTAGAACTCTCCAGGACTATTGCCACTTTCACCACAGAGGTAATGGCAGTATCTTTCTGGAAGACGTTGAAGAACCTTAGATGACAGTAACTCGGGGATCCATAAGGGACAGAAGAGGGCCCAGAATCAATACTAAGAAATTATTCAGTAAAGACTGCCACATGCTCCAGAGATCATTTCACACTGCCGAGGAACAAATACTACAGTTGTGTGGACGCGACTAAATTTTTTGGGGGGGAAAATGAACACCACAAAGAAAGTGTTAGGACGAGAAGAGGCTTTTCATCAGTCACTGACATCTGCTCACATCCTTTCGCAAGCTTTTCATCTCCACATATACTCACTGTCTAACAAATACTCCTGTGGCAAAATGTTGCTCCAAAACAGTAACAAAGCAATGAAAAAACAAATATCCACCAAAAATCCCTCAAGTACTTAGTTTGATTTAAATCTAAAAAGCCTAGACCTAGCACAAGTCTACCAAGGTGAGATTTTGTTACAATTCACTCTTCTTGTATGCACCTCTGCATTGGAGCTGCTGAGGCTGGAATTCCATTCTGCACATCTCCATGTTCAAACTGACTGTATGCCAAGTGGCCAGAAGGATGAGATGCTCCAGAGGCTGGAGGGGGAGCTCCAGATGTTGGCGGGGCTCTTAACGAACCTATAAACATAAGGAAAAAAAAAATAAAATATCACAAATTATAGAAACAAGGGCTTGAACCAATCACCATGAAAAATTCAAGTGCAGAATTGTTATAACAATACTCCATGAGCAACAAATAATTTATGCGCAAACATTTTTAGCAAGTGTCACTATTACCATCTCCAGACAGATCAAGCAGAAAATATGTTCTGTGAAAGGTCTTCAAAAGACAACTTAATCTTTTATCAAGAAAAACAAATTATCTTGTCAGTAAGGTACTGAATCCTTTCCTCTCAAAGTCCAATTATTTTTATCTAAACCAAGAGTATTCAGTGGAATCTAATGTTTATTACAGGTCACTTTTCCCTACCTCAAAGGTAAGCAGGCTATGCAAGCAGATTCCATTTTCAAAAACTACATGACTTACTGCACTTATATATAACATAATGGGGGCCACCACAGACTGTTCCTTCCAGCCTCTCAAGCTTGGAGGCTAACACAAATACTCTCCATCTTTCAGACTGAGCTGGTTCAGTCACAGCCCAAATATATTTGCCTCATAAACCAGTCTTTCCACAGACCACAAAATGTTGGATACAATACCAGTGGATCGACTGCAGTTTTTACTCCCAAAAAAGAGAATATAAACTTCTCTTTTAATAATACTATATTAACAATGCTGGTAATTAGAACAACTGTATGACCATGCCTGTTAACCACAAGGGAACCTATTTCATGTATGGGGTATCATTAAGTACAGATGACTAAAACTGCCCCATGAGACCAGGCTCACACATACAAACTGTTGTGTCACTCTGACAGTGACTGGCATGGCAAGTTTCAAAGGGATCCTGAAACCTTCTTGTGAGGAATCATTACAAAATAGGAAGTAAGGGGAGCCATTTCTCAATTCTACAGTATAATTTATACCCTAAAGCATGAGGTTTCAACTCACATATTTTATCTGCTACATCCAATTCTTAGCAAACCTGGGGATGTAAAGTCAAGGAAGGAATTAACTAGACCTTGAATAACTGATGATTTCTTGGGTTTTCTTCTTTATTACTAAACTTCCTCCTGTTCTTAATTTTGAAACAGGATTTAATTACTCCTAGAGACATTTATTATTTTTATATACTTTCATCTCACTAATGTTGTCTTTTCTAAATTACTGTCACAGCACCTTCATCTTACTGCTCCTCTGGCTAAGCATTTCCTGATCTCTTACTATTTGGATGCTATTTCTTTTTAATTTCTTTTGTGATACCTCACATCTATTTTTCAATGTCTTTCCTTTGACAGTACATGTAAACTGTTTGGCCTTCTTATAATTTGTCTTTGAAGGCATATTTAATCAAATTTCTGGAGGGACCCTACATATTTTTTTATTAAGTTAAATTCCTTCACCCCCAAATTTAACAGGCATACCATTTGATAAATATGTGCTTACTTCAGAAAAAGCTTTGTAAGTAATTTTTTTGTAGATCTCATCACAAATATACTTCTGTCACCCCTACTACAGGCTGCTCAAACAGTCACTGAAAAAGGAATTACTAGAACAGGCATAGGTATCTAGTGGTTTATTACCCTAAGATTCATTATTCAACATCTTTGCAATATTCTTACTCATACAGATCTCACAATGGAGGTAGCTTACAGCAAAATGGAAAATGCCTATGATTTTCCTCAAAGCTCTGAGCCTATACGGTTGTCTTCTGACACCCTAATCTTCTAAACAAATCAACACCTCCAGAAATAGCTCTTCCAAAATACCACTAGTTGAAAAAAAGGAAAAGTACAATATGGTTTCTTGCAGCATTTATAATTCTTACATTTTGATTGCTAGTTGTGAAAAGATATTTCCTTCTTCAAGTCACAGCTTTTGGAAAAATAATTATTCCTAAGACATACTTGGATTCTAAGCATAGCTAAGAAAGTTAAAAACTTGCTTTTCCCTTAAACAAAAGCACAAGCTACACAAATCTCATGAGTTTCAGTAACAATCTCCTGGTGGTTTGCAGAGATTTTCCTTTTCTTTGCAATGCTATCACCTCACCTTCCCTCTCAAGAGTGAGACCAAGTTGTTTTAAACTAAGGATTGTACCTGACAGAATCTGAATGGGCCATTCAGGTTTTGAAATCAGACTTCAGAACACATTAGTCACAAGTCAGGTTTTATCTATGAATCTGCATGCATAAGGGATTTCTATTAGGGTTATTTCTTCATATCCTATTTATGCTTCTGGAATGCAGCCTACAAATAGATTGGGAAATGTCCCACCCACCTCTGCCTGAACAATCAGGTACCCAACCTTTGAGATAAGTATCCATATTAAATGGGAACTTGGCACAGAAGAAGTGACACAGCATGCACACTCCCAAAGAAAGGACACAATTTACCTATGAAATTAGGTGCAAGAGAAGAAGTGTCAGAGTTGAGAGATACAGGAGAGCCCTTCGAAGGAAACCCCAAGGAAGGAAAGTAACCTGGAAAGACAGAGTACACCAATAAATCAAGCCTGAGAGAAAGCACTGAGAGACAGCCTTTCCAATGCTGTGAACAGTCTGCAGTGCAGAAAATACCTCATACACAAAATTCGTGTCATCTACCACCTTGTTGCTTAAGCTATACTCCCTCTTCTGCCATGCACAACATATTACAAATGTAGTCTTTACACTAATTCAAGTGTTAACATTTTCATAAAGCAGGCCTATGTAAAATGATCTACAGCCTAATTGTTACAGGTATTCAGATAATTGCGTTTGTACTTTCAACTGCATGACCTCATCTGAAGGAAACCAATGGACTGACTAAAGGACTGGGGAAAAATTGTCCTGTTCTTTCAATATTCTCATAGCAAGAAGCAGCTATTTTCAGCTAGCACCACAGCACTCCACTTCTGGTCCTCAAAAGGACTATCATCACTGCTATGGCACTCCCATGATTCCAGTTAGTTAGAGTCAGGGTTTGTCACATAAATCAGATGCAAAACACTCCATGACTAAGGATGGCACTGACTCCCAACATTTCTCCACTCAGTCTCCAAGCAATTTTACTGTTATTTTAAAAATAAATCCCTAAGACAACTACTTTGAAATTACAGAAAAACATTGGCAGTTTTCCCTTTATTCCTCAGTGTTTCCTAAATTCCTGCCTCTGAAATTAATTCTCTTTCCTCTATACTATGCAGCTACAATAGGTCTTGCCACAAAGACTAGCAGTAAACAATGTGTTGCAGGTGGTGGTAGAAAGGACAACTGTCACTGTTTTTACTATCACCTGTCTGCTGTCTCTGATAATGTGTTGTTTGTTTGACTCCCTCTTTCTACAGGGATTTCACACTCAGCAGCCACTGACAGGTCAACCTCTGGCTGTTGTGTAAGGCTCTGAATTTTACATTTCTTTCTTCTAAACATAGGAATCCTAAAAAGCAGGTCCAAAATCCACAGCTTGACAACTGAGATTTCCTTAATACAGTCTGCTAAATCCAGGAATGATGGTCTCAGAAAAAAAGATGGAAAAAAACCGCACAAAAGGACGGCCTTTGCCTGACAATAAAGTACATGAGACACTACTTGAGTAGTGAAACACAGTTATTTTGTTCAAGTGACACTACTTGAGCAGTGCAATACAGTTTTGTTGTTCAAATGAGACCATTTGTTGTTCAAATGTTGCCCTTAGTGTCACATCATCTTTCAATCATTACTGACATAAAATCTGTATTTTTAATCTGCACAAGTTTTTATGAATGTTATCAAGGTATCTAGGTTTGTTTTTACTGAGCAGTCCCAAAATTAAAAAAGGGAAACTAGAAATAATCTAGATGAAAAATGTTAATTCCCTTAAAAAGCAACGCTTTCCAGGCTTGTGAAATCTGAAAATTTTTGAAGTATTTGATAGAAGATGCTCATCAGTTTCTTTTCACAAACACCCTAATCATTCCTTACATTGCTAACGGCTAAAACCTCTTTTCTATAAATAGCTGCACTGATGCAACTTTTCCAAATCTGTGGTAATTTTTGTTCTTGAATCCCCATCTCTCCCTCACCAAAGCAAGTCAAATTTCTCACCATTCCTTCCACTGGACAGAAAACACGATTAGTCACTGGCTACAGTGAGCAGTCAAACAGCTCTCAGTGGCTGAGCTCTGCCTCTGGTCTCCCAGGAAGCAGGGTTTTTTTCCTCCACTCAGGGATAATTATGAGTATCATTACTTTCACAGGAATTCAAACCCTGTGTGAAATTAGTTCAAAACTCTCAGCTTAAATGTGGTGTTAGAAGAGATTTATTGAAAACATGGGAGGAAGAGGATTAAGGAAAGAAAATGAAGATGGAGCACTTGAGTAACCTATCCTTTACCACACCACACTCAACTCTTTTACTACATTACTCAACTAACTCTAGACAAAAATCCAACAGTGCAATTATTCAGCACCCAAATTTCAGCTCCTCGCTTCTGTTAGCTTCAAGACAACTAGAGGCACTTTGATTATTCTATCCTTCTCCTTGAGTGTGGGTTAAAATTCAAGAAGTTACAAAAGATGGAAAATGTCCTTGAAGGGGGGAATCATACAGAGACAATAAGCTTGACCAGCACAGTCCTAATTACCTTAGAACACCCCTCTGAAACCTAAACAAATATTTTTAAGTTCATGTTGTGCTAATTTTGGCAAAACTGAATTCATCCCTGTGATCTGAAAAGGCAGACATACTTGCATGCAAAGCAACAGTATTTTCTCCTCTACATTTCAAATGTTCCATTCACTATTGATTTCCCAGAGCAATTCACATACTTGAAAACCAAGACTTACAAAGTTATTGAAGTCAGCCTTTCTTTTGAAAACAGGAAAACAAAAGTTGAGTTACTTTTATTTTTTTTAAGAAACAAAAATAACAAGAGATATGATGATCCTGCAGAATCAGTGAAATTCTGGACTATTTTAGCTTGCCAAATGTCCACAAAGGTCTTATTGAATTTAAAGACATTAGAGAAAATAGCTTCAAATATGCTTTCTACCTAGAGCTGTATGTCTTAATCTTTCAGGATGGAGTGCAGGTCTTTCTATGCAACAATGTAAGGCAGTCTCAATTATAAATCTGTTACAGTCCCTAACTGCTGCCTCTCAACATAACCTCATCAGGAAAATTCTTCTATTCAGGTGCTTCAGTAACATAGGGATATGAACATAGAGAAAAAAACAGGTTGTTTCTCATCATGTTAATTTTATGACCTACCAAAAGAATAAGCCCCACCAAGCTGGACAAGAGACAGCAGAATAACCTCAGAATATGAGATGACATGATTTTTAGCATTATGCAAATTATATAGAGAAAAACTGATAATTGCTACCACAAAAACCCGAAGACTTACAATAGGAAGTATACAGCAAAAATCCCATGTGCACCATAATTCACAGGTTATCAGTCATTAAGCATTGACCAAGCAGTACCTTGTGGAGGGACTGGCTGTTGATATCCTGGCATCGGCCCATTATAAGCTCCATACTGCGACTGAGGAACCCCTGGCAATGACTGTCCTCCGTAGGCAGGCTGCTGGTATCCCTGATATCCAGGCTGAGGTTGCCCGTAAGGAGGCCCCGTGTGAGCTTGCTGGTTTACACTCATTGTATTCACATCCCCAAACTAACCTCACCTGCAAAAAGGGGGGGAAAAATTACTTTTATTAGATATTAAATCGAACTGGTCGGCTTTCCTACTGTTTTCAAATAAGCGAGAGATCCTGATACTTGGGAAGCTAAAACATTAATGGTAATTGTGCACAGCACAATTGCACAGCAATTTTTTCAAATAAGATAAATGCTTTACAAGAGCTATTTAAAACAGTATTTTCAGAAACTATATTTTCTAATCAACTTAGTCAGCATTTAATCCTGGTTAGATCTGTGATCATCACCTTAGATAAAATATCATCATTTGCCATTCCACAGAAGATTATTATCAAGCATCCTAAGATACCTTTCAAACTACTACCACCTCACAGAATCAAATCAACAGAAAATAGATTTCATGGTATAGATGAGCGACTCCTTAACATAACACTTCAGTAACACTGAACAAGTTCAGCTGTCACCTCTGTGTTAGTTTACTTCATCACGTTTCCCTGTTACAAGCAGCCTACTTCACCATCCACAAAAGCAGCTGCTTGAAGGGTTTGATAAATCTAGAACAGGACCAGCATCCAGGGCTACAGTCCTGTCTTGTTTGGCAACAGATGATTTAAAGTCCTTCCTACATACATACATTTCAGAAAACAAAGATATTCAAAAGCAAAATTTTCACCTAGGAAAGGTGTTCAAAATGGAAAATAATTACAGGCAAAGATGGCACTAAAGGAGTTATATCAAAGTTTAAGGCCGGAAACAGAGTGTCAGAGACAGGAGAGACATTTCTTAGCAAACTTTTGCAAGAAATCTTGCTCAACAGACATTCCCAACTCCCCTAACTAACTGTATGAAGAGACTGACTATCTTTTATAGCAGGAAAAGCAGAACTGTAAGACCCCAGACCAAGCAGGCAGTTCTTACAACAGCAAGCAGGCAGATAACCAACAGTGCCTTTCATTTGCAGAGAAACAAGGAGACTGCATCAGGGGCAGGAGATTCCCTCATGGTGTGTTTCTCGTAAGAATATTTTGCATCCCCTGTACTTCCTTGGACACTCCATGTCACTCTTACCCTCTTCAGTGAATACTTACCTACACTAACACTAAAGAAACATGTTTGGGGCAATAAAATTATTTACTAAAAAACATCAGTTTATATAAAAATGCAAAGTAAAGGTAAAATAAATAATATTGTCATCATATTTTTCTCCAAACTCTTTAATGAACTTGTGTGTTAAAGATTCAAAGTAAAACTTAACACAAAGGAGAAAGAGGTGCAACAGCCACCAGAAGCAAAGCCTGACCAGGAATCTGTAGCTTAAGTCAATCAGGTATCAAAGCCCCAAGCTGGTTTGCCTACACTCTGATTAGCACATGCCAAAAAATGCTAAGGTTGGTTCTTCACATTACCAAAAATATGTGCCCATACAGAAAATAAGATGCCCAAGAATTATTTCAGCAACTGACACCACAGTTGTAAAGCAACACTACTGGAAGAACTACAGCTCTGTAAGAATAATTCACATGAAGAAATTCTTTCATACGTACAGTAAAGGGAAAATACATGTATCACAATACAGAGATTTAATTACTTACAAAAGAAAGCTAGCACAAAACAAATACTACAGTTCACCCCCTATAGCTAGCATACATGACAAATATCAATACTAAGATAACTAATACTTACTCTGAAACTAGATTTTAACCTTTTATAAAAGGAAATAACTGAAGTTTTATATTTTTATTCTCTAAGCTGTATAAAGGCAAAGATAGGGCTTTTGTTTAGAAAAAGACTGCCTCTAAAATATTTAAAGGTAATTTGTTCCTGAAAGTTAAAATGTCATTTGCAACAGCTTACAAGAGCATGACAGAATTTTTCATCAGCCCGCAGTGGTTTTAAACATGATTACTCTCTTGCTATCACGTTTATAATGTGTAATCTCTAAAAATTCTGGTTTCCCACACTACCTTGGCTTAGTTCTGCAAAACAGTCTAACCTGAGCAGCCATATGGCCAGGAAGTCTGGACTTTGGGACCTGCTCCCTTCCCAAGTTCCCTGAAAGGTTAACCCCTTACTGCCCAGGCAGGCAGTCAGTGTTACCACACTAAAATCACAGACCTACTCTCAGCCACCTCCTGTTCTGTACAAACAGTAAAGCAAGAGAGTGCTTCATGCAAAGGTGGGAGTACAGGGAAGGAAGAACACATTGAGAGGACTCCTCTACCCGCACATCTTGGAACATCTGGGCAGGGTTTTCTGACAAGGAAGGAGGGCTGTGTTCTGTTCTTCCTGCCTCTGCTTATTGGAAAGCACATGAGGCACCTGGCCTCTAGTCACTGCTCCTGCAAACAGGTCTTTCCTCCAGAAAGAGCTGCAGAGTAGCAGAATTCCACAGGGCAGCTCCTGAGACATAACCACTAAGACACTTTTCACAAGTTAGACCAACAGAAATCCCTGAACAGATCTAATGTTCAAGCTAGGAATTACTATATGGCAGAAGATAAATCTTTCAAGCTTTTTCTCTTGTTCTTCTAAAGCACAATGGGACAAGAACTCAAGCATGACCCTTGTAAACCACTTCTGGATTACTGCTGTGAGTGTATGCTCAGTAAGTGATCTTACTTACATCTTTTACTAGTCCCTTTTCAGCCTTCCCTCCCTTGCGTGAATATCAATATTTCCTGCCTGTACAGGTGATATCTGTCAGCTTGTTGCTCTCTCCACAATACCAAAACTGAGAGGTAAGCTGATTTAATGCACATTACAGAGAAAAAGAGTTTTGAGATAATCTCTTACATTTTTGTGGAAAGAGTAGCTACACAAACAAGATGGTTCTAACTCAATGTCCCAACTGAAAGACAGATACACCTCAGACCTTTAGCTAGCCCATGTGCCAGCCAGCACAGGTTCATCACCACCACAGCACAAGCTCATGCTTGCTCCATACTGGCAGAGGGTCAAGGAGGGAGACTTAAGAACAAGTCAGTGCTGAAACTGCAGACAAGGCTGTTTCATTATTTTTGTGTCCATCTTGCTCTGAACATGAGGCTTGTGGCACACTTGCTCACCACTGATGAGAAATATCATAAGGCATACAAGAGTATTTGCCTCTGAGGAGGTGGAAGACTGTTGTCACTGAGTCTGTTTTCCCTCTTCCCCAGTACAAGTTATTTGTATCAAACATTCATTTTGTTTCCACTCAAAAAACATCTCTGTCTAAATTAGAACCCGGTCACTTGAAGAGATATGGAGAAAGGGATAATTTTGTGCTCTGTCATATAACATGAAGGTTGGCTGGGATATGGAGAATGACAGAAATAATACATATACCAGATAGGAAGAAATGGAGATAACAGGTCACTTCACTGGATAAAAATGCTGAGAATACTCCTTTGCACATAGTAACACATTGCCAAAACTAAGCCAAACATAATACTGACACATGGTGTTGAACATCGTATTACTACTCAGCAGTTACAATACACAAAGCTCAAATAAGCAGGAAAAAAAATCTTATGACAAGTGGTCGTTACCATAAACAATTTCCCCACAAAGCAGGAAGCAGTCACTTTATACCATTTTCTGTTCCTCTGTATAAAGGCAGCTGACCATGAAGTTTTGATCAACACAATTACAAAGCTACAATTACACCAGAAGGCTGTTGTACAAAACAGACAACCAGTGAAGATCAGTCTGATGTGATGGGAGGGAAAGATGTACAGGAGTAATGTAGGGGGTGCAGAATATCGAAATTTTTACAATAGCTTCAAGATTTCTTAGTATCCAAACAAATCAGACCACAGAGAAGTTTTTATGACATGCTTTAAAAAAACTAATGATTTATATGAGCTCATTTCAATGAGCAAATCTCCCAAATGACTAAAAACATCATATTCATCTTTTTTAATAGTCTGCATTAACTCCCTTTTGAAACTGAAAAACTTGATCTCATCAATTCTTGTTCGCTTTCTAAAGGAAAGGCACACAGCAAAATTACTTTCCTTCAGAAAGGTGCTAGTGCCTTTTTTACTGGTCCCAGAGAAAAAGCCTGTTTGTTTCAACTTCTGAGAAAACTGATACTTTTTAAAAAAACAAACCTATGACAACCAAAAACCACACACAACCCAAGACAACCACATGGTCACCTATGTTATCCTGAAACTGAAGGAAATGCATCTATTTAACAGGAAAATCAAAACTATTTCCAAAAGATGGGACAGAAGAAGAGCACCAGTAATTCAGAATATTGTCTACAGTACTTTTAATGTTTTGTTCTGCAACTTTCTGGAAGCAGCAAGGTTTTGCTATTCTTACAAAGACCTAGACTCTGGAGCTAAGAACACTCTTTGGAAAGAGAAATGTCCTTGCTTTTCTTTCATTGACAGCTTGACTAGGTCTTCTACAAGCATTCATGGAACACTTGGTTCTTTTCAGATATAAAAAATTACTGGCTTCTTATTTTTTATTTTTTTCCCTATAGAAAATCCTGGAAAAGAAACTCATGTGCTAGAAGTCAGAAACTTCCAACTAATCTTTAAGCTCGCAGGCCATTGTAACAAATGCCTCCCACACATTTGTCCAAATCAACCCAAAAGGCAATACTGGAATCAGCTCCAATCTCGTTGTAATATGTGGCACTCTCTTTTTTGCCCGTGCAGATTCTCAAGTTGTTACACCACAGGTAACACTTTCTTCATCTATGCATTTTGAGTTACTGCCAGAAACATTGTTTTAACAGTTAATGAAAAGTATAAGGCACAGTTTTCCAAGTGACTCTCAGGTGCAATCACTTCTATATTCTTCCAAAGAAGGCCACACTAAACTCTGTTTTTTTTAGGCTGATTCATCATCCTGGGCAAAGTACAATACAGCATACAAGTTACAAGAGTGAAAGTGATTAAAAACTGAATACAAAAAAGCCCAGTTTAGTCTTGACCTAACCTTAAAACTACCACTACTTCCAACCCCTGCCATCACCACCAGATTTCTGCTTCAATAACATTTTATACACTGTTGACTCAAATCTCCTGGTGGGACTGATTCACATCTCCATCACTGTAATAAAGCTCTAGAAAAATATTTGAAAAACTTCTGCTACCAGCATGGCTTCTGAAGAGCAACCCCATGGAGGCAAAAGTCACTGACAATACAGCATCAACAAAATCACAGTGAAAGACTTCTCTGTTTCCTAGCTACCTCCAAATATGTGTGGACATATATGTTACAAAATCCAAATCATTTCTGTGAATCTTGCACAAGCATAATTGATTAGAAAAAGTTACATGAGTAGTTTCAAATTTAGAGAAGAGGACAGAAAGAGGAAAGGAAGAGCAGGAATATATGGAGTAAGACTGAAAAATAAATTTTCTTCACATACATTGTAACACTGGCCATCTCTGTGCTCTGACTTCCTGTACACAAATACACATTACATGATTTCCATCACTTGCAAGAAACAAAAAAAGGTCAGAATTAGCTTTTCCTAAATCCTACTGCCAGTTTATACTGCCTTTTAGTGCTTTCTATGTTAACAATGAATCTTGCTGAACATACAAAAACAAGCTCTGTCTTCACAATTTATCCTAACACAGCTTTTCAAACCAAAAGAACAAGAACATCCACCTCTCTTCTGCAGAGACCTTGTTGATTACTGTTGGTGACTCTTTGTACCTTGCCCCTCCTTAGCCAACCATCAATTCTTCCTTGGATTTTTGACCCTCCTTCTGATAGTAAGTGTTACAGGAAGATAACACAGTCCTACCATAGCAGGAAAAAGCATTCAAAGAAGTACAAGCACCAAACCACTCATCAGAGAAATAATCCTTTAAATATCTGTTCACTGCTAAAAGTCAGCTTTCAGCCATGAAGTTAGAACCTGGAGTGTCACAGCATATTAAGAAGCAATTATATATTCTTTATATTGATGTCCACTTCATAGTCTGTCTACAACAATAAAAGAATCCTGAATGGCACAGCTTCAAGCCAAAAAGGGTAGTTCCATTAGCAAGAACCTGTTCCACAAGAAAATGGGTATAAATGTTTATGTTTTCGCAGAGTGTATATATGTGATTGAAAGTGTCCTTTAAAGAGGAAAGCTTGGAAGTTTAAGGCTACATATATTTCTATCCATAACTGGATATATATTTCTATTTCTATACCATAACTGGAACACCTACTCTAGGAGAAGATTGCAGGAAAGAAAAAAAAATGATGTTAAAGCCAGAGTTCCCTAAATTTACTCAGGAAAACTTCACATTAATAGCGAGCAAAGACTTTAGTACAAAATCAGTAATCACCTCCCATTTCAGTGATGTGAATTTACACTGCTTGTAAAAAACAACAAAAAAGAATTTGCATGTTATGTCTCAGATAGTGATTTCTGTCCAACACACCTCGCAACATTTGGGAAAGTTGACTACAGAATCCTGTAACAGAAATGGATCTAGAAATATTTTTAAGGAATTATCACATTAATAGCTAACAATCAGCTGAGTATCGAACAACAACAAAAAAATCTGTATTTTCAATGACAGTGCAAACATAAAATCCTATGGATAACTTCTGACATAGGTGTAAGCAATCCTCTTATGTCCCAGCAATCACTTCCATTAGCCAGTAAGTTTAAAAAGAACTTCAACTACAGCCCAGTTTGGATGGTTTTGCAGTCTCAGAAATCAGTACATTCAAAAAGATTAAAAAAAAAAAACAAACAAAAAAAACCACAACTAAAGGAAACTAAGCTTCACCGTACTCCATCAAAAGCATTTCCCAGAAAGAGTGAAAGCAAATTCCAACAACAGAAAATAAAACACATTTAAAGCACCATCTACATAGAAAGCAAGAGTCCCATCTTGCATAACCACCTTTTCAAGACTACACTTGTATTTCGATCGTGCCATCTCCTTTACTTTCCTTCCTTTTTTCACAGCCACAGACAAGCAACCACTAAGTTTTACTACCAAATCCAACCAATCTCGGCCGCCAGATATCCGCAAGGGACGATCATCCTTTGCAAAGCTCGAATGAATGAAAGCTTGAACAGCACGGCACAAACGCCAGGGGAAGGATCCGCGGATTACAGGAGATTAGGGAGGTTGCAGAGGGGGGTATCGGACTCGCGGCGCACCCCTGCCAAAAAGAAGCACCCGGTTCTCCGTGCCGGACCGACGGCCCGACTCGCAGCCGCCGGGTGTCGCCGCACCACACCGGGGCAGCGACGGCTCTCTCGGGGCAGCCCAGGCACNGCGCTCGGAGGCCCCGGCCGCTGACGTCCAGGCTGGGGCGGGCGGCAGCTGCGGGAAAGGCCGCGGGGCTGATCCTCGCGCAGCCCCAACCAGCGCTGTCCGCACGGGCAGCTGAGGCGTAGGCAGGGCACGGCCGAGCACTGCTGAGCCGTGGCCACCATTGGCCACGGTGCCCTTGGCCGCCTGTCCCGCCAGCGGCCTGTGAAAGAGCGCGACAGGGGAGCAGGCAGGGCCAGTTCTGCACCAAGGAGCAAAGAGTTGTTCACTCCCTACTAACAACAGCGGAGAGGTCGTCCCTCCCTACTCGCCACTGGTGTGGCCACACGTCAAGTACTGCCTTCAGTGGGCCCTATCGGCCCCCTTTCTATAGAAGGGCACTGAGGTCCTGGAGAATGTCCAGAGAAGAGTAGCAAGGCTCGTGAAAGGTCTAGAAGACTAACAGGAATGGGTGAGGGACCCGGGATAGTTTTGTCTCGAGAAGAGTAGGCTCGTGGGGGATCTCATCGCCCTCTACAACTGCCCAAAAGGAAGTTGCAGTGAAGTGAGGACGGGTCTCTTGTGTGGCTGCAGAGAGGACAAGAGGAAATGGCCTAGAGCTGAGACAAGGGAGACTCGGATGCTACAAAAATGTTTCACTGGCAAGGTGGTCAAGCATTGGTATAGGTTGATCAGGAACGTTGTGGAGTCACCACCCTGGAGGTGTTTAAGAGGCATCAGGACCTGTGCTGAGTGATGTGGTTTAGGGCTTACAGTGGTAGTGCTGGGTGGATGGTTGGACTCGATGATCTCAAAGGTCTCTTCCAGCATTGATGATTGTGTGATTGTGTTGGTGTGTGCCCACCAGCAATATGCAGTGGCACCAGATGAGTGGTGCTGTAGTGCTGGCAATGGAGTAGTCAACCAAGCAATGGCATTACAGCAAAAGGACATCCTCTGGATGTTACGGTATTAGGCTATTTGTCATTGAGAGATAAGCATATGCAGGATGAGGAAGCAGTAAGGGTAAGCTTGTCCTCAGGACCTTAACAGAAAATTATTTTTCAAACCTTGTAGGAAAGGGAGAACATGGACTTCAGTTCTTTTATAAGTCCCTGGCTTGGGATGGCTAGGAGGTCTTGTCTGTCATGGTCCTAAAGAAAAAACACTGAAAGATTCTGCTCCACTCTAGTGAGACCCCTTCTGGAGACCTGTGTCCAGTTCTGAGGTCCTCAGCACAGGAAAGGCATAAATCCATTGGAGCAGGTCCAGAGGGAGGCCAAGAAAATTATCAGAGGAGAGATGGTGGCTTCTCTTACTAATAAAAGCTGAGAGGGTTGTTCAGCCTGAAGGTTTTGAGGAGACCTTATTGTGGTCTTTCAATACTTAAAGGAGCTTTTAAGAAAGCTGGAAACAGATTTTTTTTAGTAGGGCTTATAGTTACAAGACAAGGGGTAACGGTTTTAAAAGAATATAGATTTAGACTAGATATAGGGAAAAAAAATTCTGCTACGAGGCTGGTGAAGCACTAGCAGGCTGCCCAGAGTGGTGGCAGATGCCCCATCCTTGGAAACACTAAAAGTCACGTTGGACAGGGCTCTGAGCAATCTGATAAGAGTTGAAAAAGTCCCTGCTCATTGCAGGTGGGTTGGGCTAGATGATCCTTGGAAGTTCCTTCCAGCCCAAACTATTCTCTGTTTCTATGATTCTATGACCTGATTGGGCTGTCTTGGCCATTGAGTCTATGTAAGCAGTGCCCTGCAGAGAACTGTTTGAATCCTGTATGTGTAGCTAATCCCAGCTATTCTGGTCCCAGTGTCTAGGGTTACGAGTGGATGTAGGGGATGTCAGGGAGCAGCACGCTGCAGAGGGAGCACAGTACATCTATACACTGCCCATGGCTTTCAGGGCAGGCACATAGTGCTGCTGCATAATAACACTAGCTGCATGGAGAAAATAGAAGTGGAGAGGACATTAATTGCAGGCTGGTTTTGTTCAATTCATAGGGTCAGGTGCTGTCACCTGATTTGTACAAGTTTGTGCCTGTGACACATCCTTACCTGAAACTCATACTAATGGATCCTGAATACTGAGTGACTCTAAGATTTGCATTTGGAATGCAAAGTGGAAATAAAATTTTTACTGAAATGCTTCCAGCTTTAAGAGTGTCAGACAAAGCTCTGGAGAGACAGGAGGTGTGCTATTTTCAGCCACGTTCCGGTGAGAGATCCATCGTGTATGCGGGGGGGCACAGAGGGTGAGATTGACATGACACGTGTGTAGGACAACTCTGGCCCCTTACCAAGGGCAGAATCAAATGTCTAATCATAGGCAGAGCAGCAGCTGAGAGTCCAGAAGAGCAGTGAAGGCTGGGCTTGACAGTCTCAGCTCTTGTGTGTGTGTGAACTTCAAGGAGAAAGTGAGAAGAGGGCCTTGTGGGGACTGGAGAGTGGTGGTGTGAATTGTGAATATGGAAATAGAAGAGTCTGACTGTTAAGAACTGGAGTCTGTACTGAAGTTGTGAAGACAAAATATCTAAAGCACAGAAATCATGGGAGCTGAAGAAGAAATGCTCATCACTCTGTCTGGAGGTGCCCCCTGGGGCTTCCGCCTGCAAGGGGGTTCAGAGCAGAAAAGACCCCTTCAAGTGTCAAAGGTAGGATCTTGAGGTGCGAACTGTGAGAGCAAAGTTGTTCTGCTGAACTCAGATATCACTGCTGAGTCAGGCATCTTTCACTACTGTTAAGGAATACAGGAACTCTTTACCATGGCAGCAGATCTTAAAAGGAAAACTTGTGTGGTGTGCTCAAGCAGGGTGTGAGGTGGGCTGTGGGTCCTGGAATAGATGCTATGGAGGTAGAGACAAGTGTCAGGTGGAGATCTGCTTCAGTGCAGGTCTGTACAGCTCAGACACTTTGTAGGCTGTACAGCTCTCCTGAGTTGTCAGCAGAGCTATAACCATAGTGACAGTGCAGGGAAAAGGGCTCAAATATGGAAACTTCAATACTCATGTAAGACATCCAACTAAAGAAAAAATAAATGGAAGCCGTAGAAGCCATATTTTTAATTCAGTTGTCCCTAACATTTCATTATTATATTCCAGCTTTCAAAATAGATGCACATTTCTTAGTGCCTCTTCTGTTGATGAAAGTTTTTCAACACTGTCTGAAGTGAACAGTGGTGCTCTAAGCAGCAAATACTGGTTTAATTTCAAGAATTAAAGAAAAAACAGTTGTTTGGATGTGAGATAAAAAATTGGAATACACATGAACCTTGTGTTACACTACTTTTGATAAACAGCTGTTACTGTTGTCTTTTCAGAAAGATTACTGAATAGATTGAAAACTAGTGGAAAAAATGGTCCTCTTTATTAAGCTCATAACAGCTGCATTAGCCTTAACACAATGATATCTTGGGGTATCTCACTGGAAGGCACCCAGCAGCAGAAATGAAAAAATGCTCTGCCCAGCTCCTTCTGTTTCCTTAAGCAGACCATGCCTCTGACAGAATTTTGAAATTAAATGTTCTGTGTCACTTGGCTCACCTCAGATCACAGAGTGTTTGTCTGTAACTTCTGCCAAATGTTTTGGAATCCCATAGCTTGGCCTTGAGGTGAATGTTTGTTATGTAGAGAAGGATGATTTTTCTCCAGGAAAACAACTTCTGCACAAACTCATGGAGTTTCAGGTGTTAAAAAGAAAGAATGAATATGCTTGCAACAGGTGTCTGGCATCAGTGGTTCTTGGGAAAATGGAATTTTCAGGGGTCACATTAATTCTGCATGGTCTAAGCTGATTTTGACTCTAGTTTTTCCCTCACTAGACAAGAAACTGGGACTGAAGAGGGTGGAGATTATGAGTGTCTATAAAGATTACTCAGGATTGAACACCAGCAAGAACTAGTCATTACCCAGGCTAAGTTGCACCTTAAGGTGAATGGAATGTTGCTCAAGGATTAGTAGCACTTTCAGGAAGGTATTAACTAGAAGCAGCTCTCACCCAGAACTGGGTGCTGTACTTTAAGTCTAGCAATACAAATGTATATAATCTTAGAATACTTGGATATTGCATTAAAAATAATTAGTGAAAATATAATAGATACAAATCAATTTGAGGCTCAAAGTAGACATCATTCTTTAGGCAAGATTTTCAGTTTACAACTACATTTTTTGTCTATTACTGCCCAGAATTTAATAGCATCCAATGACCCTACATACTGTCTTGAAGGCAACACCATTTAAATAGTCCCCAAAGAATGGATTTTTAGGTCTTTACCATGTAGCCAGGAAGATCATATCTGAATGTAACCTGCTTAGAAGAGAATAAACTGCCAGATGTCATGTGATAGAACATACAGACTTGAATAGCTGATAGGTGCCAAGAGATAACTGAGTGGATACTGTTTGTGTCTCAGAGATTCCAGTGCTGTCATTTTAGGCAATTTCAACTTTTAGGCTAGAAAAGTCGTAGTAGTAACACTAAAGAAAGATGTTTACCTTTGGATGCTGAGTCAAATGATAAATAAGTGATGAAAAATTAATTTAGGAAATTAATCATATATAACAAGTACATTATACATAAATGATACATGTTGTACTTTGGCAGAGATGCTGGAATTGCTAAGTCAGACTAGGTTCAGAGTTACCTCTTGTCCTGCTTCCTGCTTCCTTTGTGTTTCCTGCAAGTATTTCAGGGGAAGTTTTAAGTTTCACCAATGCATCTAATTTTTGCCTAATGCAATGTGGAGGGAAATCCTTTCCCCTTAGGTAGTTATCAGCATGCCCTGGGAAGTATCTAAGAATTGGTAGTCTTAGTGGTTTACCCTATAGATAAACAGAAAATTGTTTCTGAACAACTAGGACCTTACCTGTCTAAGTCTTATGTGATTTCCCAATGAAGATTTGGTAACAGCAAAGACTAAATGTTGCACTAAGTGGGATTTCCTGCTTGAGTCGCTCTTGTTGTGTTACAGAGCTCTTCATAATTCCTCATCTTACATGATCAGTCAGTGTACACAGTTTCTCGTCTTCTTGCCTTTATGCTTTCTAAAGTTTACATCACCATCATCTCTTAATTGTTTCTCTTTATGGAGATTATGGTAAAATTACTCACTGATTGCTGTCCTTGGTATCTTTTTCTTGTTTTCCTGAAAATTTTTTGGGCATGCTGTATGGTTACCCTTCCCTTCCCTTCCCTTCCCTTCCCTTCCCTTCCCTTCCCTTCCCTTCCCTTCCCCTCAAATTGGTTGTTCTCTCATAAGGTGTTCACAAGGATGGCTTAAATTATTGGCTGTTTTCAAATTGCAGTTAACTTGAAATGTACAGTGAATGTTTCAAACATGCATTTGAAGCTGTTTTCTAGTGCAAAGTATTCAACTGGCTGTAACAAAATAAAGTACATGAAGATGTTGGAAGTGGGGTGTGAACCCATTTTTCTACAAACGAAAAGGATGTACAGCTGTAGTTCAAACTGCTTCTCCCAGCAAGGGATCAATTCTAAACCTCAGTCCAGCTGACACAAAGACACACACAAAAGAAAAGCAGCTGTGTCTTCACATGCTGGATCCAGCTGCCACAGAGCTTCTGTGCCATTCAATAACTTCCTGTGGGTTATGGGTTCAGGGACACACCTGGAGAAAGATGCTGGAATTACGTACTTGTGGGCAGTCTCTTGGGTTGTACATAACTTGGCATGAGCCCACAGTGTGCCCTGACAGCCCAGAAGGCCAACAGCATTCTGAGCTACATCAAAAGAGGAGTGGCCAGCAGGTGGAGGGAGGTGATTCTTCCCCTCTGCCCATGTGGAGCACTGCATTAACCTCTGGGATCCTCAGTGCAGGAAAGATGTGGACTTCCTAGGGTCTAGAGGATCTAGGTGATCCAAGGGATGGAGCACCTCTCCTATGAAGGTTGAAAGAGTTGGGATTGTTCAGCCTGGAAAAGAAAAGGCTCTGGGGAGACCTCATTGTGGCCTTCCAGTATCTGAAAGGAACTTATAAAAAAGAGGGAGAGATATGTTTTCAATGGATAGATAGTGATAGGATAAGGGGGAATTATCTTAAACTAAAAGAGATTTAGATTAGATGTAGTGAGGCACTGGAACAGGTTGCCCAGAGATGCTGTGGGTGACCCATTCCTGGAAGTGTTCAAGGCCAGGTTGGATGGGGCTCTCAGCAATCTGGCCTAGTGGAAGGTGTCCCTGCCCATGGCAGGAGGGGTGGAACAAGATGATGATTCTAATGATAACTAATTCTGTGTTCAAGTAAACTTAGGGAGCCAAACAAGATGTGCTTGCCTTGGGATCAGAACATTACTTCTTCCAGTAGTGCCCAGTGGATACTGAGGAAAAAACACGAATTTAAGTAAAACAAGAAAGATTGAAATGCTAGCATTAACACCAACTAATTATATGGCTCCAGATCTGTAACTGCAAATGCCTATTCCTTTCATCTTAAACTTGTCTACAAGAGCACATACTGACTCTTTTGTTCCACCAATACAATAATTTGCAGTGTCCAGGTGCTAAAATTGCCTAGTGTGAATCTGAAGACTACCATATTGATGTGCATTTGAAAAGCATACCATTAGTAATTCGGCTGATAAAAACAGATACTGGAAGAGTAGGGAGTGAGACCAAAAAATAAACACAAGAAAACTTTTAAGTGTCTGGGAAAGTAAGAGAACAAACATAAACACAAGAAGCAAAAAGGATCCATAGATGGTAATATTTTTATTTTAGAAAGGCTGAGGGAAAGTTCATGGTCCTCAGATGTAGCTGTAACTGATGAGAAGGCTTACCCATTCTGAAAAGAGAGTAAAAGAGAACAATACCATCAGGTTCCTGGAGGATTTCTTTGCAGCAAGGATATGTGCATCAAATGCTTTCAAAACAACAAAATGTAAAATAGCTAGTCTGAGAAAAGCTATAAGCACTAATGCCATTAATCAACTAAAGTAGAAACCTAACATGAAATTATATTATAGAAATAATTTTTATCAAGATGAACAGGACAGGATGATGCAAGTGCATGCAAACCTGCCTTTAGGGATCCTGCTGCAAAGCAGTTCAATTATTCAATGAGGAGAAAACACAACTGTTTACTTTCTATAAAAAGTAAGGAAGGTGCTTCTACCTCCAGCCCAAGTACAAGTAATACTGACATGATAGAAGAAACTGAGTCTTTACCACTGGTACTGATAGTAGAAGCAAAGGACCTGGGTATATTAGTGCATCACCAATAAAAGGCCAGCAAAATTTTGAATGTCTGAAAAAAAAAGCAGCAAATATATACAAATGAGCCTCAGGTAAACATGTCTAACAGAGATATGAAGGCATTGATATTATTGTCTAATGCACAAGGGGGAATTCACTGGAAATACCATACTTACAGAATCAGCGCCTTTCAAGGAAAATAAATGTAAGGTAGAGCAGCCACAGAAAAGGAGGGGAGGGGAGAAGGCTTCTTTCACCTAACAAAATATTGAAAGAGGTGACTGCAATTTACAAATAGATGTTGAGCAAATACCTGTTGCAGCTGGATCTGGGAAATACAGGTGACAGCACTGACAGCACAGAGCAACTAACTAGGAAGGTTCAGCAATGACATTCCAAATTAGAAAAAGAATTGAAAATCTTTCGAGTCAGTTTATGAACCAGA